TTACACAGGCAGCCAGTTCTCTCTCTATTCTGGGCAGTTCTACAACCCAGGCACAGAGCTGACTGCTATCCTGGGCTGCCTGGAGACAGTTCTAGAACAGTGGGCAATGCTGGCCAGTTCTAGATTGATTGAGGGAACTCCAGAACCAAGAAGCAGAGGTCCACTGTGGTTCTAGAATGTTGTGGAGGTTTAGAAATAGGAGTGGGGGGTGGGGCGCGGTGGCTCACGCCTATCATCCCAGCACTTTAGGAGGCCAAGGCGGGCGGATCACTTGAGGTCAGGAGTTTGAGACCAGCCTGGCCAACATGGCGAAACCTCGTCTCTACTAAAAATACAAAAATTAGCCAGGCATGGTGGCGGGCGCCTGTAATCCCAGCTACTCATGAGGCTGAGGCAGGAGAATCATTTGAACCTGGGAGGCGGAAGTTGCAGTGAGCTGAGATCACACTACTGAGCTCCAGCCTGGGCGACAGCGAGACTGTGTCTCAAAAAATGTAGAAGTGGGCCGGGCGCGGTGGCTCACGCCTGTAATCCCAGCACTTTGGGAGGCGGAGGTGGGCGGATCACAAGGTCAGGAGATCGAGACCATGGTGAAACCCCGTCTCTACTAAAAACAGAAAAAATTAGCCGGGCGCAGTGGCGGGCGCCTGTAGTCCCAGCTACTCGGGAGGCTGAGGCAGGAGAATGGCGTGATCCCGGGAGGCGGCGCTTGCAGTGAGCCGAGATTGCGCCACTGCACTCCAGCCTGGGCGACAGAGCGAGACTCCGTCTCAAAAAAAAAAAAATGTAGAAGTGGGATTGTCTGATTCTGGCCCGATCCTGGAATTCTGGGGACACAGGGTGAAGGTATCTGTGGGTGCTAGATCTGGCTTTGAATCCAGCCATGGCCTGGACTCACTGGCTTTCCCGCCTGCGAGTCCTTGAGGGATGGACAGAAGGTTCTAGAGCTGTGAGGGCCAGGCTGCTTGGATGGTTCTAGAACAGTGGGCTGTGCTTCCTGGCTGGAGAGTGCTGAGCCGCCAGCTGGAACACTGTGTCTTCCGACCATCTCGGAGAGCACAGCCCTGGGGCAGAGCCCGTGGGAGTGGGCCCCTGAGGGCCGACCCTCTCCGCTGTCGCCCTCAGTGCCCGGTCCCTGTGACCATGAAGACCTCCTGGATGGTGTCATATTTGGGGCCAGGTACCTGGGTTCCACCCAGCTGGTATCAGAACGGAACCCGCCCACCAGCACACGCATGGCCCAGGCCCGAGAGGCCATGGACCGCGTCAAGGTGAGGGGGCGGCCGGGGGCGGGTGGGCAGGCGGGTGGGCTGCGGGCTGGGTCTGTGGGGGCCTCCACCTCCCACGCCACCCCCACAGGCCCCCGACGGGGAGACCCAGCCCATGACGGAGGTGGACCTGTTCGTCTCCACCAAGAGGATCAAGGTCTTGACATCGGACTCCCAGGTACGGGGCAGGGACCTGGCCCCAGGGATGCGGGTGGGGTGATCGAGCCTGGCAAGGCCCCCCAGCCCACCCAGGCTGCCTCTCCCGCCCCCAGGAGGCCATGATGGACCACGCCCTGCATACTATCTCCTACATAGCCGACATCGGCTGCGTGCTGGTGCTGATGGCGCGGCGGCGGCTGGCGCGGAGGCCGGCCCCCCAGGACCACGGCCGTCGCCTGTACAAGATGCTCTGCCACGTGTTCCACGCGGAGGACGTGAGCAGCCAGGGCGTGAGGCCACCCTCCTGAGGCCCTCCTCACGGCAACTGTTACCCGCCTTGCTGGGCCACGCGTTTAGCCTCCCTCCTGTAGCTTATTTTTTTATTTCTTTTTTTGGGACAGGGTCTCCCTGTCACCCAGGCCGGAGTGCAGTGGCACGATCGTAGTTCACTGCAGCCTCTGCTCCCCACCAGACTCAAGCGATCCTCCCACTTCAGCCCCCCTAGTAGCTGGGACCACAGGGTGTCACCATGCCTGGCTAATTTTTGGATTTTTGATAGAGACAGGGTCTCGCTCTGTTGCCCAGGTGAACATAGAGTCTCAAACTCCTGGGCTCGAGTGATCCACCCACCTCGGCCTCCCAAAGTGCTGGGATTACAGGCGTGAGCGACCGCGCCCATCCTCCCATAAGCCTCCAAGACCCTCAGCTGTCTCCCTGAAACCTCGCCCACTCCTGGGCTGTCCCTGCCACCCATCAGGCCCCCTGGCTGGGTCTCTGGTAGCTTTTCCCACAGCCCACGCTCAGGGAGCTGCCCCCCTCATCGTCGCCCCAGCCCAGGGCTGCCCCTAACCCTTCCTTCTCGCTGTAGATGCTCCAAGATACAGCTGTCTCTCCACCTCCCCCAAAGCCCCAGGGCAGGCGGCTGTGTCCTGGGACTCTCACCCCAGGTGGGGACAGGAGGGCTCAGCTCTGAGGACCCTGGGGACTTCGGGGACCTGGAGGAGGTGGGTGGGACACCCCAGGGACGCGCCGCCCGTCCCCACAGGCCCAGCTCATCGCCCAGGCCATCGGCCAGGCCTTCGCCGCCGCCTACAGCCAGTTCCTGCGGGAAAGCGGCATCGACCCCGGCCAGGTGGGCGTGCAGCCGAGCCCAGGCACCGGCCACCTCCACAACGGGGACCTGGACCACTTCTCCAACAGCGACAACTGCCGGGAGGTGAGTGAGGCGCTGGGCAGCCCCCGCCTGGCCCCTGCCGCCCCGTGCACCTGCACCAGGCCTTGCCAAGCAGCCTCCGCACCCCCTCTCTGTCCCAGGTGCTCCTCGAGAAGCGGCGAGGGGAGGGCCTGGGCGTGGCCCTGGTGGAGTCGGGCTGGGGCTCCCTGCTGCCCACAGCCGTCATTGCCAACCTGCTGCACGGGGGGCCCGCTGAGCGCTCGGGAGCCCTCAGCATCGGGGACCGCCTGACCGCCATCAATGGGACCAGCCTGGTGGGGCTGCCTCTGGCCGCGTGCCAGGCCGCCATCCGCGTGAGTTTCCTAGGGTGGCGGGGCCCCCACACTCCCAGGAAGGGGAACTGAGTCCCAGAGAGGTCTCTTCCCTGGCCAGGTCTCTCCAGGCCAGTTGAGAGGGACAAAGTGTAACTTTTAAGTCCTGCTCACTCGTGTGCCCTTGGGGAAACTGAGGCCTGGAGAAGGGAGGCCGCTTGTCCAGGGCACCTCCCTAGAACCAGAGCCAGGATGGAAATGCGGGTGGCCCAGCGCCAGGGCTGGGCGGCTCGCTCTCTAACAAGAGACAGCTGATTTCTAAGGGGGTTTGTTTGTTTGAGACAAGGTCTTACTCTCTTGCCCAGGCTGGGGTGCAGTGGTGCACCTGTGGCTCACTGCAGCCTTGACCTCCTGGGCTCAAGCAATTCTCCTGCCTCAGCCTCCCAAGTAGCTGGGACCACAGGTGTGCACCACCACGCCAAGATAATTGTTTTACTTTTTGTAGAGATGGGGTCTCACTATGTTGGCCAGGCTGGTCTTGAACTCCTGCCCTTAAGTGACCCACCTGCCTAATCCCACAGTGCTGGGATTACAGGCGTGAGCCACTGCGCCTGGCCATGTTTTTTTTTTTTTTTTTTTTTTTTTTTTTTTTTGAGATGGAGTCTCGCTCTGTCACTCAGGCTGGAGTGCAGTGGCCGGATCTCAGCTCACTGCAAGCTCCGCCTCCCGGGTTTACGCCATTCTCCTGCCTCAGCCTCCCGAGTAGCTGGGACTACAGGCGCCCGCCATCTCGCCCGGCTAGTTTTTTTGTATTTTTTTTTTTAGTAGAGACGGGGTTTCACCGTGTTAGCCAGGATGGTCTCGATCTCCTGACCTCGTGATCCGCCCGTCTCGGCCTCCCAAAGTGCTGGGATTACAGGCTTGAGCCACCGCGCCCGGCCCTGGCCATGTTTTTGAGTCTTAACCTTTGTTGTTCAGATGGGGAAACTGAGGCCCAGAGATAGGGAGGGACCTGCCCCGGTCAGAGGGATGAGGCCACAGTCCGTGCAGCCTCTTACAGACGTTTGCAGCCTGCCTGGAGAGCCCGGCTGTCGGCTTGGCTTTTGGCCATAAGGAAGCGATATGGCTCGGGTCACACAGCTTCGACCCCAAGCCCACCGGGCCCGAGTCTGTTCTCCACCACATCTGAGGGGTCTTCCAGAATTGAGCCCCTGGACTCCAGGTCTCTGGTTTATGAGAGGGTAAACTGAGGCCCAGAGGGGGCCACAGCCTGCCAGGCTGTCCGGCAGCTGAGTGAGGCCAACGACCCCCGCCCTGCAGGAGACGAAGTCGCAGACATCGGTGACACTCAGCATCGTCCACTGCCCGCCCGTCACCACCGCCATCATCCACCGGCCCCACACTCGCGAGCAGCTGGGCTTCTGCGTGGAGGACGGCATCGTGAGGCCCCGGCCCCTGGCCCGCGGTGGGGGGTAGGGCGGCCCTGAGCATGGCCCCTGAGCAGCCCCCACCTCTTTCCCATCCCCCCCTTTCCTCCCCCAGATCTGCAGCCTTCTCCGCGGCGGCATCGCCGAGCGCGGGGGCATCCGTGTGGGTCACCGCATCATTGAGATCAATGGACAGAGCGTGGTGGCCACGCCACACGCCCGCATCATCGAGCTGCTCACTGAGGCCTACGGCGAGGTGTGCAGGTGGTGGGTGGTGGCCGGGGGCGCCCCCACGTCCACCACAAGCCCAGGCCTGCCCTGAACCCCATTCTGCCTCCACTCCCCAGGTACATATCAAGACGATGCCAGCCGCCACATACCGCCTCCTTACAGGCCAGGAGCAGCCCGTGTACCTGTGACCACCATGTCCCTCGCCTGCCACTGTGCCTTCGCCTCCATGGCCCTGGAGCCCCATCCTGGGCCTGCCTTGGCTGGCCAGGACCCCAGCGGTTCTTGGTCCTGTATGATTTCCTAATATAAAAACAGTAAAAGCTTATGCAAGCGGCAACGTCTCGGATCAGGGTCTACGAGACCGAGGAAGGTGAGCCCGGGGCTTGGCCCTCTCACCACCTTGTCCTTCCCAGAAGCCACTAGAAGCCGGTGCTGTGAAAATACTCTGTTTATTAAAGACCAGGTGGAGGGAGGTGGGGTTGTGGGTTCTGTATGGGAAACTGAGTCCCAGTCCCAGGGAGGGAGGACGGACCAGCTGGCAGCCTGGGAGAGGTCACAGGTCAGTGGCCGGACCCCAGTCGTAGCCTTCTTCATCGGAGGACTCCGCATTGCGGACTCGTGTAAACTTTTTCTTCAGGGCTTCCCGTTCATAGGTTCTGGGGATCAGGAAATAGAATAGATGCTGTGGGTGGGGAGCGTGTGAGCTTTCCCACTGTAAACTGAGGCTGACTGTGCTAGGCACAGTGGGTGTGGGCAGAGATAAGCACATCTGGGCATTCATGGGTAGGGCCTTGTTAACAAACTCCTATGCATCCCTCAAAGCCCCAGCTTCAATGTCCTGCCCTTCAAGAAGCCTTCCTAGCTCTCCCAGGAAGTGGATTCCTACTCCCTTGGCCATGATTATATGGGGCTTAGAGAGGCTTTGGCAGGCTCTGTCTTCCCAACTAGGCTAGGGGCACATGAAGGCATAGCTTGGATATAGATCTCTTTATTAACCCCAGAGTCTGAGTCCCAAGGGAAGGGTTGAGGGGCACCCCCAGTCTGGAATCTGTGGTTCTTACCGCACACTGTCCTGTCGCCACTGACCCTGGGGATGGCTGCTGTCCGCCTTGGAGGAGAGGGAGAGAGGAGCTTCAGAATTCCCCCCAGAGCATGGTAAGTCGAGATCAATAACCACCTCCATCCCATCCCCCACGTTGGCTGGGGCCATGCTGCCCAATTGCTAAGCCCATGACAAGTCTGCAGGTCATCCCCAAATATAAATGAGAAAACAGGCTGGGATAGGGGAAGGCCTTAGCTGAGACTTCCTAGCCTGTCAGCAAAAGGGGAATTGGGTTTCTCATCTGTGCAGGTCCTCATAGGGCCACTGCCATGAGTTCATGTATGTAAAGGACTTAGTATAGTGGCTGCTCCATATGCGGCCGCCATGGACAGTTGAACAGGTTGGGTACTGCACAACCCTAGGAAAATCATTCTAATCAGAGATGTCATCGATTCATAGATTTTTACATTGACCCAGAGAGGGTGTGGAAGAACATGCTGAGGCATATACACTAAGAGCTACATACACCTTTGTTAAAACACCCAACTACAGCTGGGTGCCGTGGTTCATGCCTGTAATCCCAGCACTTTGGGATGCCAAGGCAGGAGGATCACTTGAGCCCAGGAGTTAGAGACCAGCCTGGGCAACATAGCAAGACCACATCTCTGCAAAAAGTGAAAAAAATTAGCTGGGCATGGGTGATGGTGCATGCCTGTGGTCCCAGCTACTCGGGAGGCTGAGGTGAGAGGATCCCTTAAACTCAGGAATTGGAGGCTGCAATGAACTATGATTGCACCACTGCACTCCAGCCTGGGCAGCAGGGCAAGACCCTATGTCTAAAATTGAAAAAATAAAATATATAAATTAGGTAAGTTAGGGCAAGTTCAAAAAAACACGCAACTACTATGTGCCAAGACTTGGGCTGAGTACGTTGAGTACTCGCCACTGCCCTGTGCCACCAAGTCTGATACCATCCACCCTGTGTCCTAGATGAGGAAACAGGTGCAGAGAGAGGTTAAAATGTTGGCTGGAGGCCAGGTGCGGTGGCTCACGCCTGTAATCCCAACACTCTGAGAGGCCCAGGTGGATCACCTGAGGTCAGGAATTGGAGACCAGCCTGGCCAACATGGTGAAACCCTGTCTCTATTAAGAATACCTTAAGAAAAAAAAAAAAATAGCTGGGCATGGTGGTGCTCGCCTGTAATCCCAGCTACCTGGGAGTCTGAGGCAGGAGAATTGCTTGAACACAGGAGGCCGAGGCTGGCATGAGCCGAGATCATGCCATTGCACTCCAGCCTGGGCGACAGAGTGAAACTCTAACTAAAAAAAAAAAATTAGGCCGGGTGCAGTGGTTCACGCCTGTAATTCCAGCACTTTGGGGGGCTGAGGCGGGCGGATCACCTGAGGTTGGAAGTTTGAGACCAACCTGACCAACATGGAGAAACCCTGTCTCTACTAAAAATACAAAATTAGCCAGGCGTGGTGGTGCATGCCTGTAATCCCAGCTACTCAGGAGGCCGAGGCATGAGAATCCCTTGAACCCGGGAGGCGGAGGTTGCGGTGAGCTGAGTTGGCGCCATCGCACTCCAGCCTGGGCAACAAAAGCGAAACTCCGTCTCAAAAAAAAAGAAAAAAAAAATTGGCTGCAAGTTGCTCAGTGCCACGTGGCTCTTAGCTACCCCAGGTCTGAGTCCTGGAAACCGATCTGACCAGGGAAGCGGTTTGTTGGCGTCCTGGTAGAAAACAGGCTCCCCAGTGCGTGTGTGCTCTGTGCCAGCGTCCCCGCCAGAGACCTTTCCCAGGACTGCCCCCCATGCCCCACGCACCTGGGCCCCCTGATGAGCCGAGATTCTCCCACGATCCCTTGGGCTCTGAGGCTCATCTGCCTGCACGGGCTCCGAGGACCGGGCCAGGGCTGGAGCCAGGGGCTCATCATCCACATCTGTGTAGGGCCCCCCCTCGCCGTCCGTGTAGCCCTCGCCGTCCGTGTACGCGCCGCCCTCGCCGTCCGTCTCGTAGTCGCTGTTAACACGGCTGTCGCAGCTGAGGTCAGCGGAGCTGTCGGCCAGGCCGCGGTGGGGGAGGTCTAGGTTGTCCTCCAAGGAGCCTTCCAGCTGTGGGGTGGGTGTGGATGCTGCGGCTGGCCCCGGCCAGGACCCCAGCCGCCACCCACGACACCCCCCACCTTCAAACTCCAGTCCCAAATCGAGACGAGGATCCTGGAGCCTCTAGCCTCAGTGGAGGCTTCACTATTGACTCCAGGATTAATTGTATTCATTGACCCTTCACCTGAGAGGCTCAGCCCCCAAATCCCAGCTGAGCCCTAAACCTTGACTCCAGCACCAAGAGAAGACTCGTCTCTCTCTCAAAACAGCTCCTCCAGGCTGGGAGCAGTGATTCAGGCCTGTCATCCCAGCACTTTGGGAGGCTGAGGCGGGTGGATCACCTGAGGTCAGGAGTTCGAGACCAGCCTGGCCAACATGGTGAAACCTCGTCTCTGCTAAAAATACAAAAATTAGCTGGGCGTGGTGGCGCTTGTCTGTAGTCCCAGCTACTCGGGATGCTGAGGCAGAAGAATCACTTGAACCCAGGAGGCAGAGGTTGCAGCAAGCCGAGACCACACCACTGCACTCCAGCCTGGGTGACATAATGAGACTCCATCTCAAATCAAACAACAACAAAAAAAATCAGCTCCTCCAATCTCATCTCATCCAAGTTCCAGTCCAACACCCTTGTCTCAGGTCCCATCTTGACTCTGGCCAGAATCCTGACCCCTGAGCAAAACCTAACTCCCGACAGAGGCCCCAAACCCCAGCTGGGCCTGCACAGGGTCTGTGGGGCCCCCCTGTCCCCGACCCACCCTCACCACGGCAGTACCTGATCTTCCGCTGTCCAGATGGGCCGCGTCTGCTGCTCTCGAATGATGGCCTTGAGCTCCTGGTACCAGGTGTCACTCATGCCATTCAGAGGGATGGTGGCTGCAGGGAGGAGCCATTAGTATGCGTGGGAGACTCAGGCTGGGGCCCACCCGCCTACCCTGGGACACCCAGCCCCACACCTGTGAAGAGGTGGCTGCTGTGTTTCCGCAGCTTCTGGGCTTGTGCGTAGAGGCGGCGGGTGCTGCGGCGGGAGGCAGGCGCCAGCCACTGGCGCAGCGCCTTGAGGGCCGGCCGGCTCTCGGGCATGAAGAAGACCACAATGGGGTAGTACTGCACATAGTTGAGGCGCTCGATGGCGGAGGGGGTCACATCCAGGAGCGCGTGCTTGTCCTGGGCCAGGCCCGCGGAGGTTGGGGAGAGGGGGATTGCAGCAGGGTAAACAGACAAAGATGGAAAGATGAGGAGTCTGAGGTCAGAGTGGACCCCAGCTTCTCACATCCACAGGCTAGCATGTTGGGGATGGTGGTGGTAATAGCTCAGGCCACAGCATCTTGGCAGACAGAGAGAAAGATGGAAAGATGAAGAGTCTGAGGTCAGAGTGGACCCCAGCCTCTCACATCCACAGGCTAGCATGTTAGGGATGAGGGTGGTTAATAGCCCAGGTCACAGCATCTTGGCAGATAGAAAGATGGAAAGATGAAGAGTCTGAGGTCAGAGTGGACCCTAGCCTCTCACATCCACAGACTAGCATGGTGGGGTTGGGAGTGATAATAGCCCAGGCGACAGTATCTTGGGCATCAAAGCCCCAACTTGTCTCTCTGCCTGTGCCCAGGGCTGAGTGCTGTTCGACTCTGGGAAGCCCTTGTCTCTCTCGGGCCTCCTGCCTCACAAAGCCTCCGAAAGGGGCTCCATGGGAGACTGCACTTGTGGGGTGTGGGCTGAGAACAGGTCAGAACATTCAGCTGGACGCCCAGGCCTCGGTTTCCCCCATCCATGAACTGGGACCCGTAGCAGGACCCGGCTTACTTTTTCTGCAATCAGCCGCACAGTGTCCAGTTTGATGATCTTGGAGGGGCTGTCCGTCCTGGACACAGTCTCTGTGGAGGGGAGACAGGACCAACAGCTTCAGGAGGGCAGCCCCTGGCCGCTCAAATTCACACCTACCTGCCCCTCCCCTGCTCAAGAAGCCACCATGGCTCCCCATTGCCCTGGAGATAAATCCTAACAGCAGCAGCAACTCCTGTTGGCCAAGTGCCAGGCACTGCACTCACATCCCCTCCTGACCTCAAGCCCTCACGTCCTCCTGAGGAGTGGGTGGCTGGTACTGGCCCATGTGGCAGGTGGGGAAACTGAGGCTCAGAGACAAAAGGCTACTTGCTCAGGGTCGCAGAGTCAGAGGCCAGATGCTGAGCCTGAGCTGCAACCCCTGGCTCTCCCAAACTCAGTCCCAACTCCAGGGCTCTGCTCAGGCTACAACCCCACAGGAAGCTCCACTCTTGCCCCTATCTGTCTTCTAGGATCTGTGAGGAGCACTGCTTCCTCCAGGAAGCCCTCCTGGATTGTGCAAAGTTTCAGGAAGGAGACACAGCCTGGCATGGAGGGGTTCAAGGAGGGAGACATGACCTCATCCCCCCTTTCCGTTTTGGTTAAAGACGTAAAATTGGCTGGGTATAGTGGCTCAAGCCTGTAATCCCACCACTTTGGGAGGCCAAGGCGGGTGGATCATCTGAGGTCAAAAGTTCGAGACCAGCCTGGCCAAACAGCAAAACCCCGTCTCTACTAAAAATACAAAAATTATCCAGGCATGGTGGCACGTGCCTGTAATCCCAGCTACTAGGGGGGCTGAGGCAGGGGGATCACTTGAACCTAGGAGCGGAGGTTGCAGTAAGCCAAGATACTGCCACTGCACTCCAGCCTGGGCAACAGAGCAAGACTCCAACTCAAAAAAAAAAAAAAAAAAAGGAAAATTTTCATCTTTTTTTAATTAAAAAAATCTTTTTTCGGCCGGGCGCGGTGGCTCAAGCCTGTAATCCCAGCACTTTGGGAGGCCGAGACGGGCGGATCACGAGGTCAGGAGATCGAGACCATCCTGGCTAACACGGTGAACCCCCGTCTCTACTAAAAAATACAAAAAACTAGCCAGGCGAGGTGGTGGGCGCCTGTAGTCCCAGCTACTCAGGAGGCTGAGGCAGGAGAATGGCGTAAACCCGGGAGCCGAGATCCGACCACTGCACTCCAGCCTGGGCGACAGCGTGAGACTCCGCCTCAAAAAAAAAAAAAATCTTTTTTCTTTTATAGAAACGTGATTTCGCTATGTTGCCCAGGCTGGTCTCAAACTCCTAGGCTCAAGTCATTCTCATACCTTGGCCTCCCAAAGTGCTGAGTTGAATGTGAGCCACCACACCCAGCCAAAATTTGCAATCTTAACTATTTTTTGTGTTTTGTTTTGAGACAGAGTCTCCCTCTGTCACCCAGGCTGGAGTGCAGTGGTGTGATCTCTGCTCACTGCACCCTCCGCCTCCCGGGTTCTCCTGCCTCAGCTTCCTGAGTAGCTGGGATTACAGGCATGTGCCACCACATCCAGCTAATTTTTTGTGTTTTTAATAGAGACGGGATTTCACCGTGTTGGCCAGGCAGGTCTTGAATTCCTGACCACTGCGCCCAGCCTCCTAGTCTATCTTGTTTCTTTTTCTTTTCTTTTCTTTTTTTTTTTTTTTTTGAGATGAAGTCTCACTCCGTTGCCAGGCTGGAGTGCAGTGGCATGATCTTGGCTCACTGCAAGCTCTGCCTCATGGGTTCAAGCAATTCTCCTGCCCCAGCCTCCCAAGTATCTGGGACTATGGGCGCCTGCCGCCACACCTAGCCAATTTTTGTATTTTTAGGAGAGATGGGTTTTCACCATGTTAGCCAGGATGGTCTCAATGTCTTGACCTCGTGATCCACCCACCTCGGCCTCCCAAACTGCTGGGATTACAGGCGTAAGCCACCGTGCCGGTTGTTTCTATACTTGTTAATTTGGAGTCTTCTCCAGGGACCTTGCCTGCCCTGTTCACTGCTGTCTCAGAAGATCAATAAACTTCTCTTAAACAAATAATAGGTGGCACTTTGCCTCAATTGGCAATGGCTACCTGGTGAACTGTGTTAAGAAGGACATAGGCCGGGTGCAGTGGCTCACGCCTGTCATCCCAGCACTTTGGGAGGCCGAGGTGAGCGGATCACAAGGTCAGGAGATCGAGACCATCCTGGCTAACATGGTGAAACCTTGTCTCTACTAAAAAATACAAAAAATTAGCCAGGCGTGGTGGCGGGCGCCCGTAGTCCCAGCTACTCAGGAGGCTGAGGCAGGAGAATGGCGTGAACCCGGGTGGCGGAGCTTGCAGTGAGCCGAGATCATGCCACTGCTCTCCAGCCTGGGCCACAGAGCCAGACTCCGTCTCAAAAAAAAAAGAAGGATGTGGAGGTTCTATCCAGACAAACGGTGCCAAGATGGATTGAGGCTATCTGGCTTGGGTATTGGAGGGGGCACTGGTGGCCCATCTGCTTCTTATTTGCCGTCATTATTCTGACTCTCCACCCATCCCCCACAAAAAACCAGTCGTGAAATGATTCATCAGCGAGGTTTCCAGGGGATCTGGAGTCTCACCTGCGATTTCAAACTGGTCAGGCATCTCAGCAGTCAACTTCTGCATAGCAATGTCAGCCACAGGTCCCAGGATCACCACCGGCCGCTTGAAACTGGCTGAGGGGCAGAGACCCAGTGAAAGAATCAGGGTCGCATTTGCGGTTAAAGACAGCTAGTGTGTTGTACAAATCCCTCCACTTCCTTATAGTAAACAGCCTATTTAGCTAGGACCATAGCTGCCCAGCCAAAGACTACATCTCCCAGTATCCCTTGCAGCTAGGATGGCCATGTGACCAAATACTGGCCAATGGAACACAAGCAGAATTGATGTGTGCAAATGAAGCCCCTCTCCAGCCTTCATTTCCTTTCTCCCTGGCTGTAGGGTCTCTTTTAGCAGTTGAACCTAGCTAACTCATAGGTCAGGAGACTACAACCTGAGGGCCACATCTGGCCCACAGCATGTGTTTGTAAATAAAGGTTTATCAAAACACAGTGACAGCCATTTTTTTATGTCCTGTCTATGGCTACCTTTGAGCAGAGCTGAGTAGTTCTGCCAGAGACTAGCCCACAAAGCCTAAAATAGTTAACTGTGTGATCCTTTGCAGGAAAAGTATGTTGACACCTGGCCTACCAGATACACCGTTTTACCACTGAAGAAACAGTCTCAGGGCATCCTGAGGGGAGAAAAGTGGCAGCCCAGGATCTTTGCAATTTAATCCTTCTCCTTTTCCCTTTCTTTCATTTTATTTACTTTTTTTTTTTTTTTTGAGACAGAGTCTAGGTCTGTCACCCAGGCTGGAGTGCAGTGGCGCGATCTTGGCTCACTGCAACCTCTGCCTCCCAGGTTCACACGATTCTCCTGCCTCAGCCTCCTGAGTAGCTAGGATTACAGGTACATGCCACCTTGCCTAGCTAATTTTTGTATTTTTAGTAGAGACAGGGTTTCACAATGTTGGTCAGGCTGATCTCGAACTCCTGACCTCATGATCCGCCCGCCTTGGCCTCCCAAAGTGCTGGGATTACAGTGAGCCACTGCGTCCAGCCTATTTACTTATTTTTTTGAGATGGAGTCTCGCTCCGTCGCCCAGGCTGGAGTGCAGTGGCACAATCTCGGCTCATTGCAAACTCCGCCTCCCAGGTTCATGCCATTCTTCTGCCTCAGCCTCCCTAGTAGCTGGGACTACAGGCACCCACCACCACGCTCTGCTAATTTTTTGTATTTTTAGTAGAGATGGGATTTCACCATGTTAGCCAGGATGGTCTCAACTCCCGACCTCGTGATCCACCCGCCTCAGCCTCCCAAAGTGCTAGGATTACAGGTGTGAGCCACCATGTCCGGCTGACACAAACAGATTTTTAGGGAAAGAATCCCCTTCCTCTCTCTTTCTATCCCCTAAAATAACCCAAAAGTTTGGGGGTTTTTTTGTATTTTTGTTTTTTTTGAGATGGAGTTTTGCTCCTGTCGCTCAGGCTGGAGTGCAGTGGCGTGATCTCGGCTCACCACAACCTCCACCTCCCAGGTTCAAGCAATTCTCCTGCCTCAGCCTCCCAAACTATCGGGAGGGGACTACAGGCTCCTGCCACCACACCTGGCTAATTTTTTGTATTTTTAGTAGGGATAGGGTTTCACCATGTGGGCCAGGCTGGTCTCAAGCTTCTGACCTCAGGTGATCCACCCGCCTCAGCCTCCCGAACTACTGAGATTACAGGTGTCAGCCACCGCACCCAGCCGCAAAAGTATTTTTGATAGAAGGAGAGTGTGGTTAGAAACATGTCTTTTTTTTTTTTTTTTTTTAAAGACAGTGTCAATCTGCGGCCCAGGCTGGAGTGCAGTGGTGCGATCATAGCTCACTGCAACCTCGACCTCTTGGGCTCAAGCGATCTTCCTGCCTCAGCCTCCCAAGTAGCTGGGACTATAGGTATGCACCACCATGCCCAACTATCTTTTTAAATTTGATGTAGAGGCCGGGCACGTTGGCTTACGCTTGTAATCTCAGCACTTTGGGAGGCTGAGGCGGGTGGATCATGAGATCAGGAGTTCAAGACCAGCCTGACCAACATGGTGAAACCCCGTCTCTACTAAAAATACAAAAAATTAGCTGAGCATGGTGATGGGCACCTGTAATTCCAGTTACTCGGGAGGCTGAGGCAGGAGAATAGCTTGAATCAGGGAGGCAGGGGTTGCAGTGAGCTAAGATCACACTATTGCACTCCAGTCTAAGACAGAACGAGACTCTGTCTAAAAATAAAAAATAAAAAAGTAAATAAATAAATAAATTTGATGTAGAGATGTAGTCTTGCGTTACTGCCCAGGCTAGTCTGGGATTCCTGGCCTCAGCGATCCTCCTACCTCAGCCTCCCAAAGTGTTAGGATTATAGGTGTGAGCCACCACGCCCAGCCAAGACTGTGCCTTTTAGAGGCTGGATGTTAGGGAACAGGTGCACCAGGACCTCTGTGTGAGGCCTCCCCAGGGCCCCTCCCGCCCCGGGCCCCACCTTCTCGAAGCACCACTCGTTCATAGGGCGGGTAGTGGCCCTGTCGGGTCAGAGCTGAGAGGTCCTCGCGGCTCCGCTGAGTGGTCTTCTTGGCTCCTCGACGAAGACCCCGCAGCCGCCAGAACTCGGCCCGAGCATTGGAGCCCGCGGAGGAGCCAGGCCCGATTCCCACGGCCCTCTGGGCAGCTTCCAGGCTGGCCAGCTGCTCCGCCCTGGGGAGGAGAGGGGACAGTACTGAGCATTGAGGTCAGCAGCATCACGGCCCCAAAGGTGTCCTCGTCCTAGCCCTCGGAGCCTGTGGACGGGCCCCTTTGTATGGCAAATGGGACTCTGCAAATGAGATGATGATGATGATGATGATTTTGGGTTTTTCTGAGACAAAGTCTTGCTCTGTTGTCCATGCTGGAGCAGGCTGGAGTGCAGTGGCACAATCTCAGCTCACTACAACCTCTGCCTCCTGGGTTCAAGCGATTCTCCTGCTTCAGCCTCCCGAGTAGCTGCGATTACAGGCATAAGCCACCACATCTAGCTAGTTTTTGTATTTTTAGTAGAGACAGAGTTTCACTATGTTGGCTAGACTGGTTTCAAACTCCTGACCTGCAGTGATCTGCCCCCCTTGGCCTCCCAAACTGCTGGGATTATAGGCGTGAGCCACCGCACCCAGCCCCATCCTTTACTTTCAATCTGTTTGTATCTTTGGATCAAAAGTGTGTATTTTTTTTTTTTTGAGACAGAGTCTCGCTCTGTCACCCAGGCTGGAGTGCAGTGGCGCGATCTTGGCTCACTGCAAGCTCCGCCTCCCGGGTTCATGCCATTCTCCTGCCTCAGACTCTCGAGTAGCTGGGACTACAGGCGCCTGTCACCACACCTGGCTTTTTTTTTTTTTTTTCATGTATTTTTAGTAGAGACGGGGTTTCACCGTGTTAGCCAGGATGGTCTCGATCTCCTGACCTCGTGATCTGCCCGCCTCAGCCTCCCAAAGTGCTAGAATTATAGGCGTGAGCCAGTGCGCCTGGCCGATATCGAGCCCATTTCTAACGGGGAGACTGAGGCTGAAGCAGAAGGGCCCCGCTGCAGGGGTGCGCAGTCCCCACCTGCTCTGGTTGGGAATGATGCCCCGCTCTTGCTCCCGCAGGTCACGACCCATGCGCACCGCCAGCCAGTGGCCTCCCCGCGTGTGGCTCTGCTCAGGGCCCGGGTACAGCGTATCCAGCACGTGGAAGACGTCCCCACGGGTGAAGCCCAGGCCGGACGGTGGGCTGGGCTCCAGCTCAAAGTGCGTGCGGATGTAGAAGGAGTCGCCCACGCGGGACTGCACCATTTTCCAGAAAACTGGGGAGAACAGAAGGCCGCATGAGCTGCCTGATCTGAGCCCTCCCCCGCGGAGAGTGGGCCTGGCTGGAGGGAACCCACCCTGGGAGACTTGGACACTCTCCCTGCAGGGGCTGGGGAGAGGGATGGAGGGTGAAGAGACGCAGATTCAACCACAGCCCTGCGCTCGCCACCAGGCCACACAGCCAGGTCCTCCCCCCGACACGCACAGGCACGCCCACACCCACGCGCACTCACTGTCCTGCTTCCGCTGCGTCACCAGCTCCATCTCCTCGCCCGGTGGCAGCCCCAGCAGGAACTGCACCGCCTCCTCCCGTGTCAGGTTCTGGAACGGCATGTCGTTCACCTGCCAGAAAGCGGGTCAGCTATAGACCAAGCTCCGGTACCTCCTGGCCGTGCACGAGATCCTGGACCTTCCTCTGGGCAAAACTCAGCCCCAACGGCTTCTGGAGCTGCTTCCAAGGGCCCCGGCAGTTTCCGGAGGGCTTTCTGACTGGGGTATCACCTCATGGCTGTGTGGTGTGTGACATAGACAGCTGGTGGCATCATAAGGATACAAGGGTTTTGACACAGAAACAGGGGCACAGGCACTGCGCTGGCCCTCAGATAACCAAGTCATGGTGGGTTGTATCAAAACATGGGAACAGAAGTCATGACATGGAGCTCGGTAGAAACTGTGAAATGCTCAAAAGAATTCAGACATAATCACAGTAGTCACAGGGTTGTGACAGGGACAACAATATATGGACACACAGTGGGTCACAGATGCCTACCATCAGGGTCATGACAAGGACAACAATATACAGACACAGCCAATGGACACAGCCACCTGCTCTCAGGGTCACGACATGGACGCAATATACAGACACAACCACCTGCTCTCGGGGTCACGACATGGACGCAATGTACAGACACAGCCAATGGACACAGCCACCTGCTCTCAGGGTCACGACATGGACGCAATATACAGACACAACCACCTGCTCTCGGGGTCACGACATGGACGCAATGTACAGACACAGCCACATAACAAGGACAGCAACACATGTGCACAGCCTGTGGGCACAGACACCTACTCTCAGGGTCATGACATGGATGTCAAGGTTAGAATCCCATAAGCAAACTGAGTAGAAATACACTAAAAGATACCATGACCCTCAGGCAACTTGGCATCAAGTTGTCACCCAGCCAGTGGGCTGAGGACATGGAAAGTGGGGAGCTGTGACTCCCTCACGAATCACAACTCACACTGCAAGGTCAAGACACAAACAAGGTCATGAGAGCAAACTGGGGGTGCGACTTGGTGAGTGAACTTGTGCAAGGGACAGGGGAGACAGCCTGGGGATGAGATGAGGCAAGGACAGAGACGGGGGGATGAGGAAGGGCTGTGGATCCTGGAGGTAGTTATGACACTGTCATGAAGGCAGGACCCAGGCAAGGTCACAACACAGACACAGGGGATGGTGGCACAGAAAATGACTGTACATGGACATGGAGATCATACGAGAATGATCCGTGACCTGACCACACGATTAGGACATATGAGACGGTCATGACGCGGTCAACACAGCCACGTCAGGAACAAGAGGATTGTGACCCAGACAAGGTCATGACATAGGCAATGAGGTTATGGCCCAGACAAAGTCCTGACGTTGATAACAAGGAGACTGTGACATTGATAACAAGGTTGTCACATGGACAAGGTCATATGACATGAACAACAAGATTGTAACCCAGGATGGGCACGGTGGCCCACGCCTGTAATCCCAGCACTTTGGGAGGCTGAGGCGGGTGGATCACTTGACCGGGAGTTCAAGACCAGCCCGGCCAACATGGTGAAACCCCGTCTCTACTAAAAATACAAAAATTAGCTGGGCATGGTGGCGGGCGCCTGTAATCCCAGCTACTTGGGAGGCTGAGGCAGGATGATCCCTTGAACCCGGGAGGTGGAGGCTGCAGTGAGCCGAGATCACACCACTGCACTCCAACCTGGGTGTCAGAGCAAGACTCCATCTCAAAAAAAAAAAAAAAAAATTAGCCAGGTGCAGTGGCTCATGCCTATAATCTCAACTACTTGGGAAGCTGAGGCAGGTGGATCACCTGAGGTCAGGAGTTTGAGACCAGCCTGGTCAACATGGCGAAAACTCGTCTCTACTAAAAATATAAAAATCAGCCGGGCGTGGTGGTGGGCACCTGTAATCCCAGCTACTCAGGAGGTGAGGCAGAAGAATCGCTTGAACCTGGCAGGTGGAGGTTGTGGTGAGCCGAGATCGCACCACTGCACTCCAGCCTGGGCAACAAGAGCGAAACTCCGTCTCAAAAACAAACAAACAAAAAAGATGAACCCGGATACGGTCAAGGCACAGACAAGGAGGTTGTGACTGGACGATGGCGTCATGACCTGGAAGATAAGGTTGTGACATCAGCCAGATCGTGACACAGCCAAGGGGACATTGAAATGTTGAAATACCCATCTGGGATCTCAACAGTCCCCAGGGTGGACGCAAGGGAAGGACCCACAGGTTGTAGCAAACAAGGGCAGGACCTAGCACACGACACGCCCATGACCGGTGGGGCTGACCGGCTGCCCCGGGAGTACCTGCAGGATCTGATCTCCCTCCTGGATGCCCTGTCCGTCGGCTGGGCTGCCCGCCTGCACCCCGGACACGAAGATGCCCACGTCATTGCCCCCGGCCAGCCGCAGCCCGATGCTCTTGCCCTTGAGGAAGCGGACTACCCGCGTGTCGGGGCTGTACCTGCAAGGGGAGGCAGAGGTGGGGTCAGACCAGAGTGAGCAGACAGGGGGAGGGCTCAGCATTGTCCTTGGGAAAGCCCCCACCCCCTCCAGGCCTCAGTTTCCCTCAAATCCCCACTTAATTGTCCCACTCAACACAAGGGATACAAGCAGGCAGGACTGCGCTGATGAGGGAGGCAGCCTGGGATGCAGGAGTTTCGAGCAGGTGGGTTTTCTTCTGGCGCACATACCCGCGATCCTCCATGCTCTGGCTGCTGGGCACCCTGTAGATGTCATAGCTGCTTTCCCTGGGCAACTCTGAAAGGGAAAGCCAGTCTCTTTCCCAAGCGCACTGGCTCGGTCCAGTCTCCAAACCTTTGCTTTATGTCCTCATCCTGGAAGGACCATCACCCACCTCGAGTCCTTCTCAGGAAACCATGTCTCACCACTTAGGCTCAGGCCAACCTCCCCCAGCTCTGCCTGGCACAGCCTTGCTGTCAGGGATCAGAAATATCAGGGATTGGCCAGGCGCGGTGGCTCATGCCTGTAATCCCAGCACTTTGGGAGTCCAAGGCGGGTGGATCACGAAGTCAGGAGTTCAAGACCAGCCTGGCCAAGATGGTGAAACCCCGTCTCTACTAAAATTACAAAAAAATTAGCTGGGCGTGGTGGCGGGCACCTGTAATCCCAGCTACTCGGGAGGCTGAGGCAGAGAATTGCTTAACCCTGGAGGGGCTGAGGTTGCAGTGAGCTGAGATCGCGCCACTACACCCTAGCCTGGGCGACAGAGGGAGACTCTGTCTCAAAAAAAAAAAAAAGAAAAGAAATATCAGGGACAGGGGTGCTCAGAGTCACCACCCACCTGCCCTTTCCTCACCTGGTTCCGAGATGGTTCTGGAATCGACTGAACTTTCCCGCCGAAGCCGGGGGCTCTCCCTGGTGGGGAACAGATGGGGAGTTGAGGCAGGAGTGGATGTCAAGGGGCCATTTTAAAAAGAATTTTAGGCCGGTTGCGGTGGTTCACACCTGTAATCCTAGCATTTTGGGAGGTCGAGGCGGGTGGATCACCTGAGGTCAGGAGTTCAAGACCAGCCTGGCTAATGAGGTTAAACCCCGTCTCTACAAAAATACAAAAATTAGCCAGGCATGATGGTGGGAGTCTGTAATCCCAGCTACGCAGGAGGTTAAGGCAGGAGAATCGCTTGAACCCGGGAGGCAGAGGTTGCAGTGAGCCAAGATCACACCATTGCACTCCAGCCTGGGCGACAGAACAAGACCTTATCTCCAAAAAAACAAATAAATAAACAAAATAAAAAGAATTTTAATTTATCTGGGCTGGGCATGGTGGCTCACACGTGTAATCCCAGCACTTTGGGAGGCTGAGACAGGCCAAATGCTTCAGCCTAGGAGTTCAAGACCAGCCTGGGCAACACAGCTGGGCAACACAGCCCCCATGTCTACCAAAAATATGAAAATTAGCCAGTCTCACATGACTCGGTCTCAAAACAAATAAATAAATAGAGGAAAAAAAAATTTTTTTTGAGACGGAGTTTTGCTGTAGTCGCCCAGGCTGGAGTGTAATGACACGATCTCGGCTCACTGCAAACTCCATTTCCTGGTTCAAGCGATTCTCCTGCCTCAGCCTCCCAAGCAGCTGGGATTACAGGCACCTGGCACCACGCCGGGCTAATTTTGGTATTTTAGTAGAGACAGGGTTTCACCATGTTGGGCCAGGCTGGTCTCGAACTCCTGTCCTCAGATGATCCACCTTCCTCGGTTTCCCAAAGTGCTGAGATTACAGGCGTGAGCCACCGCTCCCAGCCTAAGGCAGAGTTTGATACTAAGAAGTGGGGTGCTGCTGTAACCAACACCTACAAATGTGGACACGGCTTTGGAGCTGGGTAATGGGTAGAGGCTGGAGGTATTTGGAGGCATGTGCTAGAAATACAGGACTGCATCCTCAAGGTTACCCCCAGTTGGAAAGCTACGCCCGCATTCGCCTCTTCCTCCCACCGACTATTCTGACGGGTGATACTTACACGGGAGAGTCGGTCTGGCTGGCCTCGGGGCTCCGCTGAGCATGCCGGGGTGGTGGCGGGATGTGGGATGGTGGTGCCTGCGATAGCTCCGAGGTGAGGTCCGAGATGTCTGCAGAGGGAGAGGACATCTCATCAACCATGGTCACGCCTTCCGGACTGGACCCATTTTACAGAGGGGCATATCAAGACCCCTCTAAACAAAGGGGCCTAGACCAAAGTCAGAAGCTCAGTTGGAATATTCAGCTCTGGAGGTGGGCACGGTGGCTCACGCCTATAATCCCAGCTACTCAGGAGGGGGAGGCATGAGAATCACTTGAACCCAGGAGGCGGAGGTTGCAGTGGGCCAAGATCACCCCCCTGTACTCCTGACTTTCTGTGTGGCCTTCAGCAAGTTCCTGTCACTCTCTGAGCCTCTAGGGACCAGGCTCACTGGTTCGTCCTTGGCCCTGCCTGGGGCTTCCCACCTTCCCTGCGGTCCATTCACCCCGCTCCCAGGGCCTATCCTCTGCGTCCTCACCCTCCAACAGCGAGCTGTCACTGTCACTGACGGCAGGCGGAATGTTCACCAGGAACTGCCCACGATCTCTCAGCACCAGCAGGCTTAGCTTCCCTTCCGACTTCTCGATCAGTCGCCGGGTGTCACTCAGTGACAGGTTCTGGCTGGACACCCCATTGATCTGAAAGGGACCAGGAATGAAAGAGAGGAATTGAGTTAATGAGAGACGGGAAACAATAGAAACAGCTTGGTGGGGGAACTAGAAACAGACAATTCCCCCAGGGGTTGCTAAAAACAGACACACCCTAAGAAAAACGTTAGAATTAGATTCCTGCTGTGAGTGGAGACCACACCAAGAACTGATCACCGAATTCTAGAAACAGAAAATGTTCCTTAGAACATCCAGGGGTGGGAGACACTGCAGAAAATGAGAAACAGGTTGACTCTCCTTTCTTACCAAAAGTGGAAATTTCTCAGGGGATACTAGGAACAGATGTGAGGGTGACATTATAAACAACTCTAATTGGAGGAGAAGGAGTATCAGATACTTCAAAGATACTAGAAATACACAATCTTCTGGGACATAACTAGAAACAGACATTTAGGGCTGGGCGCGGTGGCTCACGCCTGTAATCCCAGCACTTTGGGAGGCAGAGGCAGATGGATCACTTGAGGTCAGGAGTTCGAGACCAGCCTGGCCAACATGGTGAAACCCCCTCTCTACTAAAAATACAAAAATTAGCCGGGCGTGGTGGTGGGCGCCTGTGGTCCCAGCTACTCAGGAGACTGAGACAGGAGAATCACTTTAACCCGGGAGGCAGAGGTTGCAGTGAGCCAAGATCCCACCACTGCACTCCAGCCTGGGTGACAGAGAAACACTCCATATCAAAAAAGAAAGAAAAAAGAAAGAAAGAAAGAAAAAGTCATCTGGAGGTAGATTAGAAACACACAATTCCTAGAAAGAACTTAATGTCAGCTGGGTGCGGTGGCTCATGCCTGTAATCCCAGCACTTCGGGAGGCCGGCCGTGATCGCGCCATTGCACTCCAGCCAGGGCAACAAGAGCAAAACTCCATCTCAAAAAAAAGAAAGAAAGAACTTAATGTCATCTCCAGTAGCCCCAAAAACCCACTTTTAACATTTTCCCTTGGGAGGTTTATTTTCTTTTCTTTTTTTTTTTTTTTTTTTTGAGACGGAGTCTGGCTCTATCGCCCAGGCTGGAGTGCAGTGGCCGGATCTCAGCTCACTGCAAGCTCCGCCTCCCGGGTTTGCGCCATTCTCCTGCCTCAGCCTCTCGAGTAGCTGGGACTACAGGCGCCGCCACCACGCCCGGCTAGTTTTTTGTATTTTTTAGTAGAGACGGGGTTTCACCGTGTTAGCCAGGATGGTCTCGATCTCCTGACCTCGTGATCCGCCCGTCTCGGCCTCCCAAAGTGCTGGGATTACAGGCTTGAGCCACCGCGCCCGGCCGGGAGGTTTATTTTCAGTAACCCTGGGGATTTTCGGTTTCTTCTAGTTTTATTTTGGTTTTTTTTTTACTCTTTTTTTTTTTTTTTTGAGATGGAGTCTTGCCCTGTCGCCCAGGCTGGAGCGCAGCGGGCAGATCTCAGCTCACTGCAAGCTCCGCCTCCCAGGTTCATGCCATTCTCCTGCCTCAGCCTCCTGAGTAGCTGGGACTACAGGCGCCCGCCACCACGCCCGGCTAGTTTTTTGTATTTTTAGTAGAGACGGGGTTTCACCATGTTAGCCAGGATGGTCTCGATCTCCTGACCTTGTGATTGCCCGTCTTGGCCTCCCAAAGTGCTGAGATTACAGACGTGAGCCATGGCGCGTGGCCCCCTTTTTTTTTTCTTTTAATAGAGATGGCCATCTTGCTATGTTGCCCAGGTTGGTCTCAAACTTCTGGGCTCAAGCAGTCCTCCTATCTCAGCCTCCTACAGTACTGGGATTACAGGCATAAGCCACTACACCTGGCATTTTATTTATGTATTTATTTATTTATTTATTTTTGAGACAGGGTCTCGCTCTGTCGCCCAGGCTGGAGTGCAGTGGCATCATCACAGCTCAAGATCACTGTAGCCTTAATTTCCCAGGCTCAGGTGATCCTCCCACCTCAGCCTCCAAGTAGCTGGGACCACAGGTGTGTGGCACCACTAATTTTCTTTTTTGTAGAGATGGGGTCTCACTCTGTTGCCCAGGCTGGTCTTGAATTCCTGGGCTCAAGAGATCCTCCTGCCTCAGCCTCCCAAATTGCTGGGATTATAGGCGTGAGCCACCAGGCCTGCCTCTGGGATTGTAAATTTCTAGTACCCCCACCAAGTTATCTATTTCTGGTATCTGCTGCAGTACGCTAGAAACACAGTTGCTCAGGTCACTAGAAACAGATAACTTAGCCAGATGCGGTGGCTCACGCCTGTAATCCCAACACCTTGGGAGGCCGAGATGGGTGGATCGCCTGAGGTCAGGAGTTCGAGACCAGCCTGGCCAACATGGTGAAACCCCGTCTTTACTAAAAATACAAACATTAGCCGGGTGTGATGGTGGGCACCTGTAATCCCAGCTACTCGGGAGGCTGAGGCAGAAGAATCACTTGAACCTGGGAGGTGGAGGTTGCAGTGGGCCGAGATTGTGCCACTGCACTCCAGCCTGGGTGACAGAGCAAGACTCTGTTTCAAAAAAAATAGAAAAGAAACAGATAACTTTTTAAAGACACTGGAAATAACCAGCTGAAAGCAGTTTGGAAATCAAACACTAGGAGTCACTAGAAACAGATTTTCAGGGGAAGAATCCAGAAAGAAACCATCCTTTAGGGCAGGGCAGCTCCCCTAAACATGGTGACTGGGTCATTAGCATCCAGCCACCTAGGGTAGGTCCAGGAGTCAGCTGCCCACATGATTCTATGATGCACATCAAAGCTACAGGGTATTAGAAACAGACAACCCCCCCCAGCACTTTGGGAGGCCGAGACGGGCGGATCACAAGGTCAGGAGATCGAGACCATCCTGGCTAACACGGTGAAACCCTGTCTCTACTAAAAAATACAAAAAACTAGCCAGGTGAGGTGGCGGGCGCCTGTAGTCCCAGCTACTCAGGAGGCTGAGGCAGGAGAATGGCGTAAACCTGGGAGGCGGAGCTTGCAGTGAGCTGAGATCCGGCCACTGCACTCCAGCCTGGGCGACAGAGCGAGACTCCGTCTCAAAAAAAAAAAAAAAAAAAAAAAAAAGAAACAGACAACCCCATGGGGATACTAGAAACCGACATTTGGCCATGGATTAGCAGTAGCTGGAGAGAAAGGTGGTTTTTTGTTTGTTTGTTTTTGTTTTTTGAGATGGAGTCTCGCTCTGTCTCCCAGGCTGGAGTGCAGTGGCGCTCAGACTCCCAAGTAGCTGAGACTACAGTTGCCCGCCATTGTGCCCGGCTAATTTTTTTGGTTTTTTTTAGTAGAGACGGGGTTTCACCGTGTTAGCCAGGATTGTCTTGATCTCCTGACCCCCGTGTTAGCCAGGATGATCTCCATCTCCTGACCTCATGATCTGCCCGCCGTGGCCTCCCAAAGTGCTGCAATTACAGGCGTACACCACGCCCGGCCGAGAAAGGTGGTTTTATGCGTGGCCATCTGCAACCTTTGAGATACAAGCAACAACACTGAAGGTAAATGGTTTGGGGCCCAGCTCTGCTGTCGTTGCTGTATGACTCAGTGGCACTGCCCGTCCCCACCCTGCCTTGGTCTCCCTGCCCTTAGGACGAGAAGCCCGGCCTCACCTGTAGAATGAGATCTCCTTCATGCAGCCCACGGTGCCGGGCAGCCAGGCCCGAATCTGTAATGTGCTTGATGAAGATCTGACTGCCCAGCTTGACACCGAACTCTGTAAGGGGGGGATGAGGGAAACTGAGGCAGGACTCTGGAGACAGGTGCCTGGGGGCATTCTCCTGTTGCAAGGACAGAGTCCAGGTGTGGGCCCTCCCTTCCTAACACTTTGATGGCATCATAATGAGAACGGCGATGTCGCCTGTGGGATCTGAGATCTGAAAGTGTCAATGACATCTCCAGAGGGCGGGGACACCAGGTCACCTGCCGCTTGTGATGTTGCCACGCCCAGGCTAAGGGTATTATATTGCTCCTGACATCATAATTGTTTCAATTTTTATTTTTTATTTTATTTTATTTTTTTTTTTGAGATGGAATCTCGCTCTGTCACCCAGGCTGGAGTGCAGTGGCCAGATCTCAGCTCACTGCAAGCTCCACCTCCCGGGTTTACGCCATTCTCCTGCCTCAGCCTCCCGAGTAGCTGGGACTACAGGCGCCCGCCACCTCGCCCGGCTAGTTTTTTTTATTTTTTAGTAGAGACAGGGTTTCACCTGGTTAGCCAGGATGGTCTCGATCTCCTGACCTCGTGATCCGCCCGTCTCGGCCTCCCAAAGTGCTGGGATTACAGGCTTGAGCCACCAGGCCCAGCCTATTTTTTATTTTTTAATTTTTTTCAAGAATGAGTCTCGCCGGGCGCGGTGGCTCAAGCCTGTAATCCCAGCACTTTGGGAGGCCGAGACGGGCGGATCACGAGGTCAGGAGATCGAGACCATCCTGGCTAACACGATGAAACCCCGTCTCTACTAAAAAATACAAAAAACTAGCCGGGCGAGGTGGCAGGCACCTGTAGTCCCAGCTACTTGGGAGGCTGAGGCAGGAGAATGGTGTAAACCTGGGAGGTGGAGCTTGCAGTGAGCTGAGACCCGCCACCGCCCCCCCACCGGGGGAAAGGGGGAGACCCCGTCCCAAAAAAAAAAAAAAAAAAAAAAAAAGAATGAGTCTCACTGTTATCACCTGGGTTGGAGTGCAGTGGCGAAATCTCGGTGCACTGCAACCTCCGCCTCCCGGGTTCAAGCAATTCTCATTCCTCAGCCTCCCAGGTAGCTGGGATTACAGGTGCACGCCACCGCGCCTGGCTAATTTTTGTATTTTTAGTAGGAACAGGGTTCCACCATATTGGTCAGGCTGGTCTCAAACTCCTGGCCTCAAGTGATCCGCCTGCCTTGGCCTCCCAAAGTGCTAGGATTACAGGCATCAGCCACCACACTCAGCCAGGCCTCCTCTTATAAAGATGCTGTGGTGATATTGGGCCTCCCACATCATCCAGGATCACCTCCGAGCTCAGGGTCCTTCACTCCATCCCACATGCTGAGTCCCTTTTGCTAAGTGAGGTGGCCTAAGCAGAGGTTCCAGGGATCAGGGAGAGGACATGGTGACAAAATGGTTCTGGGCCTCAAGTGGCTGACAGGTGATATGGCTTAACCCAGCCCAGAATTAGGGATGACCAGGTTCACAGAGAAAGAGCTAGACAGAATATATGAAATACAGACAGGGAGAAAGGGACAGAAAAGGGGAAAAGCGGGGATTTGTGGTGGGGGGAGTGAGGAGCGAGAAGACACCAGGTGTAGTTGTAGCCTCCAGGCCGGGCACGGTGGCTCACGCCTGCAATACCAGCACTATGGGAGGCCAAGGCAGGGGATCCCCTGAGGTCAGGAGTTTGAAACCAACCTGACCAACATGGTGAAACCCTGTCTCTTCTAAAAATACAAAAATGAGCCAGGCATGGTGGCGAGTGCCTGTAGTCCCAGTCACTAGGAAGGCTGAGGCAGGAGGAGGGCCTGAAACTGTCACCCACCCGACCACGGTGCCCTGTGTCCAGTTCTGATCGCGCCTGACCTCCCGCCTCACCTTCGCTGTCTCTCCTCTTTACCAGAACCGACTTCACGGGCTTCATCTGCACGTCCTGCCGCGGCAGCCGCTTAAAGCCAGACACCAGGGCCAGCCCGTTGGCCTCAGAGTCACCACCCGGGCTCCTACGCCCATGGCTGCTGGCCCGGCCCCGGCGACCAGGCCTCTGCCGGCGGGAGCGCTCGTCCCAGGAGCGGCCAGAGCCACTGGATGAGTCACCATCATAGCCCTGGCCCTGGTCCACCTCCTCCACCCGGTGTGGCCCATCGTCCTCGTCTGAGTCCCGGTGCCCTGGGCCGGAGGGGCTGGCCTTGGTGGTGGTGGGCAGCTGGATCCTCCGGGGACGTTTCACTGTCTGTTAGAGGAAGGGACAGGAGGGGTCAGCTACAGGAAGGGCTGGGGGAGGCTCTGCTCAGCCCCCAGGTGACCCTGGGGGACACCAGTCTCTCTCTGGGCCTCAGCGTCCAAAGTGTAAGATGAGAAGACGACTCGTTGCTCTCTGAAGCTTACAACCTCTACAGCGGCAGGACCCAGGCTGGGGTCAGAGACGCCGGCCGTGCCAGGGGCTGCCTACTCACAATGTTGGCCATCTTGGCGCAGGTCTTGAGTGTCTGAATGACAAACGTGGAGGTGGCATTCTCCATGGAGACCCCGTTCACCATAACGATGTGGTCACCTGTCCTGAGAGAGGTGGGCGGGTCTTACGGAGGAGGCTTTGCAGGGGAGACCCTCGTAACAAGCCCTCCCTGAGGAGGGGGTGTCCCTGGAACCTCCAGGTCTACAAGGCCTGGTTCTAATTCATTGGCGTCCCTAGGCTCACAAAGACATTCATCCTTCTGGGCCTCCGTTTTCTCATCTGTAAAATGGGGCCAATTGTAGAACCTACTATAATCATAGAGTGGAAGCAACTTTTTTTTTTTTTTTTTTGAGACAGGGTCTCACTCTGTTGCCCAGGCTGGATTGCAGTAGCACGATCTCAATTCACTGCAACCTCCACCTCCTCATTTCAAATGATCCTCCTGCCTCAGCCTCTCTAGTAGCTGGGACTACAGGTGCCTGCCACCACTCCCGGCTAAGTTTTGTATTTTTTATTTTATTTTATTTTATTTTTATTTTTATTTTTTTGAGACAGAGTCTTGCTCTGTTGCCCAGGCTGGAGTGCTGCGGTGCAATCTCAGTTCACTGCAAGCTCTGGTTCCCGGGTTCACACCATTCTCCTGCCTCAGCCTCCCAAAAAGCTGGGACTACAGGCGCCCGCCACCACGCTGAGCTAATTTTTTGTATTTTTAGTAGAGACGGGGTTTCACCGTGTTAGCCAGGATGGTCTCGATCTCCTGATCTTGTGGTCCACCCGCCTAAGCCTCCCAAAGTCCTGGGATTACAGGCGTGAGCCACCATGCCCAGCCTGGACGCTACAACTACACCTGGCATCTCGCTCCTCACTCCCCCCACCACAAATCCCCACTTCCTGCTTTTCTTTCCCTCTCTCCCTGTCTGTATTTCATATTTTCTCTCTAGCTCTTTCTCTCTGAACCTGGTGGTCCCTGATTCTGGGCTGGGCTGAACCATATCACCTGTCAGCCCCTTGGGGCCCAGAACCATTTTATCAACACAATTCCAAGAAGCTTCAAACTCTTAAAGACTCAGGATACTGGGTCTCCTTCCCTCCTGCCAAAAAAAAAAAAAAAAAGATGGTTTCCAGGACTTTATGTTCCAAAAGGGTCCTGGGGCCACTATGACCCCAGGAACTGCTGTGAAGAACCCAGAAGTACCTTAGGGAAGTGAGGCTCAAGTCTCTGACGCTGTCCTACTGCCAACTCCGAGCCCTGTGTTGACAGAGCTAGAAGGTGCCAGGCACTTTCCAGTCTCCTTGCTTTGGTTTACAAAGGTTTCACGTTGCTCTTTTTTTTTTTTTTTGACAGAGTCTCGTTCTGTCACCCAGGCTGGAGTGCAGTGGCACGACCTCAGCTCACTGCAACCTCTGCCCATTCAGGTTTAAGCAATTCTCTGCCTTAGCCTCTGGAGTTGCTGGGATTACAGGTGCCTGCCACCACACCCAGCTAATTTTTTGTATTTTTAGTAGAGATGGGGTTTCACCATCTTGGCCAGGCTGGTCTTAAACTCCTGACCTCATGATCCACCCGCCTTGGCCTCCCGAAGTGCTGGGATTACAGGCGTGAGCCTCTGCACCTGGCCCGCCTTCCTTTCTTTCTTTTTTATTCTTTTTTTTTTTTTTTTTGAGACACAGTCTCGCTCTGTTGCCCAGGCTGGTGTGCAGTGGCGTGATCTCGGCTCACTGCAACCTCCACCTCCCAGGTTCGAGCGATTCTCCCGGCTCAGCCTCCCGAGTAGCTGGGATTACAGGCGCACGCCACCACTCCTGGCTGATTTTTGTAATTTTAGTAGAGACAGGGTTTCACCATGTTGACCAGGCTGGTGTCGAACTCCTCACCTCAGGTGATCCACCCACCTCAGCCTCCCAAAGTGCTGGAATGACAGGCGTGAGCCACCGCACCCGGCCTGGTTTCTCCTCTCGACGTGCCCTCCCCCTGACAGAACCCAGCTGCCTAGGTACTCACTGTAGCTTGCCCTCCGCCGGCCCTCCAGGTACCACGTCAGACACAACCACGGATCCACCGGGCCGGTCTCGGCCTCCAGAGATCGCAATGCCAAAGCCCCGGCGAGGGTCCTGAGAGAGGATGAGGGGGAGGAAGAGCTGCTGTTTCCTGAAGGGTAAAGGGTCTCCCCTCTATTGAACTGGGCCTAAGCCACCATTGCCCCCCGGCACCCAGACAGGGCGAGGGAGGCCTCACCTTGGACAGCGTGGCCGTGTGCTGTTCCCAGATGGTCAGCTCCTCCATGTCGGCCACCTGGTCAAGGGGAACAGGGAAGACAGGTGTGAGGCCACACAGGCTCATCCGAGCACTTGGCGGTCCCCAGCCCCAGGATGAGGAGTCCAGCTCTGACAGGCCTGTGGTTGGAGCCTGTGACAAGTTACTACTTGTCTCAGGGCCTCAGGTTTTTTTGTTTGTTTTTTGTTTTGTTTTTTGAGACGGAGTCTCACTCTGTCACCCAAGCTGGAGTGCAATGGCACAATCTCAGCTCACTGCAAGCTCTACCTCCCAGGTTCAAGCGATTCTCCTGCCTCAGCCTCCCAAGTAGCTGGGATTACAGGGGTGCACCACCACGCCCGGCTAATTTTTGTATTTTTAATAGAGATGGGTTTCACCACATTGGCCAGACTGGTCTTTAACTCCTGGCCTCAAGTGATCCACCCACTTCGGCCTCCCAAAGTGCTGGGATTACAGGCGTGAGCCACTGTGCCCGGCCTTGTTTTGTTTTTTTTTTTTTTGAGGCAGAGTCTTACTCTGTTGCCCAGGCTGGGGTGCAGTGGCACGATCTCTGCTCACTGCAGTCTCTGCCTCCCAAGTTCAAGTGAATCTCCTGCCTCAGCCTCCTGAGTAGCTGGGATTACAGGTGCCCGTCACCATGCCGGGCTAATTTTTCTATTTTTAGTAGAGATGGGGTTCACCATGTTGGCCAGGCTGGTCTCAAACTCCCAACCTCAGGTGATCCACCCACCTCGGCCTCTCAAAATGTTGCGATTATAGGCGTGAGCTACAGCGCCTGGCCCGTACTCAGTTTTTCATCTGCAAAATGGGTCTAAGTCAGTGGCTCTCAAACAGGGGTAATTCTGCCTCCCACTGGGGACACTGGGTGATGGCTGGGGACACGTGTGGTTGTCATGACTTGGGGGAGCTCCTGATATGGAGTGGGTGGAGACCAGGGATGCTGTTCAGCACCCTGCAGTGCCCAGGACAGCCCCACCCTGGAGAACAATCCGGCTGTGAATGTCAGCAGTGCCAAGGGGGAGAGACCTGGTTGAAGTGAACTGAACAGTAGCAGGTGCAGAGAGAAAGCAAGTTCTTGGTCCCTCTCCCTCTGGAAGGTCTGGCTCAGCTCCCTGGAGAGGATCGAGCCAGGCCTGCAGGGTAGAGGGAGCTCACTCTGCTCCAGCCACTCGGGCCTCCTCACTGTCCCTCCAACACCAACACGCCAGACGCAGTCCTGCCTCAGGGCCTTTGCACCAGCCGTGCCCTCTGCACGGAGCGCCTTCCCCATATCCCTCACCCTCCTTCAAGGACTTAACTCAAACGTGACCCCCTTGATGAAGTCACCGCTGACCACCCCGTTTAGAACTGTAACCCCCTCCTGACCACAACAGACCACCTTTTCCCTCTCTCCTTGGTGTATCTTCCTCCATAGAATTTTCAACCCGGCCGGGCACCATGCCTCACACCTGTAATCCTAGCACTCTGGGGGCCAAGGCAGGTGGATCACCTGAGGTCAGGAGTTTGAGACCAGCCTGGGCAACATGGTGAAACCCCATCTCTACTAAAAATACAAAAATTAGCTGGGTGTGGTGGTGGGTGCCTGTAATCCCAGCTACTCGGGAGGCTGAGACAGAAGAATTGCTTGAACCCGGGAGGCGGAGGTTGCAGTGAGCCAAGATTGCGCCACTGCACTCCAGCCTGGGTGACAGAGCAAGACTCCATCTCAAAAAAAAAAGGCAGGCTGGGTGCGGTGGCTCATGCCTGTAATCCCAGCACCACTTTGAGAGGCCAAGGCAGGCAGATCACCTGAGGTCAGGAGTTCAAAATCAGCCTGGCCAACATGGCAAAACCCTGTCTCTACTAAAAATACAAAAAAAAAAAAAAAAATGAGCAAAGCATGGTGGCGGGTGCCTGTAGTCTCAGCTACTTGGGAGGCTGAGGCAAGAGAATAGCTTAACCTGGGAGGTGGAGGCTGTAGTGAGCTGAGATCGCGCCGTTACACTCCTGCCTGGGTGACAGAACAAGGCTCCATCTCAAAAAAGAAAAGAAAAAAATTAAAAAAGGAATTTGCAACCCTTGGACATTCTCTCGATTTTTAAAGCCTATTCACTATCCACCCCCACCGTCTAGAATATCAGCTCTAGAGGGCAGAGATTTTTGTCTTTGTCCATAACTGAGCCCTCAGTTCCCTGCCTAGAACAGCGCATGAGTTGCAGCAGGGATTCAAGAAGGATTTGCTGAATGAATGAATGAGTGAGTGAGTGAATTAATGAAGCACTTCCTTTGTGCCAGGCGCTTTACATGTACTATCTTTTTTTGTTGTTGTTTTTTTGAGACAGTTTCCCTCTTGTTGCCCAGGCTGGAGTGCAGTGGTGCGATCTCGGCTCATTGCAACCTCCGCCTCCTAGCTTCAAGCGATTCTCCTGCCTCAGCCTCCTGAGTAGCTGGGATTACAGGCGCCCGCCACTGCGTCCAGCTAATTTTTGTAGTTTTAGTAGAGATGGAGTCTCACCACGTTGACCAAGCTGATCTTGAACTCCAGACCTCAGGTGATCCGCCTGCCTCGGCCTCCCAAAGTGCTGGGATTACAGGCGTGAGCTTCCGCACCCAGCCGATTCTGTTATTTTCATGTCCATGGCATTCAGACGCAGGTGCAAGGTCACCTGGCCACGCCTCCACCCTCTCTTCCCTCCTGCCAGCACAGACCATGCCCTGCTCCCCAGGCAGGGGACAGGTGGAGGGATGGGGGAGGGAGTTTGTAGAAGTAACTCCTCCTCCTCCCCAGCCGGTTTTCCAGGCTTGGCACAGCAGGTGTGTGATTCCCTCTGCCCAGGCACCCCCCATTTTCTTATAAGCTCCAGCGTCTCCAGGGAAGCCAGCATTCCTGATCTCCAGGAGTGAGAAGCAGGGTGGAGGGGAGAGAAACAGAGCAGAGGGCAGGGACTCTGCAGTTCCCAGGGAGGCAGGACAGCACTCAGGACCGGACTCAAATCGCACGTCCGCCCACCCGTGCTAGCTATGGCGGGGCCTCTCCCAGCCTCAGTCTCTCCATCTGTGAAATGGCACCGCTGCCCTGTCTTCCAGGGATGTGGTTTGAGAGAAGGGGACAGATTCAATGCATGACAAGCAGAAGGAGGCTTGGGGAGGTGGCGGCCAAATAATAACTTTCTCCTTTGCGTAGTTTTTTGTTTGTTGGTTTGTTTGTTTGTTTTGAGAAGGAGTTTTTTGCTCTTGTCGCCCAGGCTGGAGTGCAATGGCGTAGTCTCAGCTCACTGTAACCTCCACCTCCTGGGTTCAAGCGATTCTCCTGACTCAGCCTCCTGAATAGCTGGGATTATAGGCACCCACCACCACAGCCAGCTAATGTTTGTACTGTTAGTAGAGACCGGATTTCACCATGTTGGCCAGGCTGTCTTGAACTCCTGACCTCAGGTGATCCTCCTGCCTCGGCCTCCCAAAGCTCTCCTCGTCCATGCTGGCTGCGAGCGGGCACTTGATGTGGACCTATTCATTTCATCCTCAGAGTGACCTTAGGAAGTGGCATGGTTACTATTCCTACTTTAGCAGTGAGATTAAAAGGGGCCCAGAGAGGTTCAGTAACTTGCCTGAGGTCACACAGCACAGTGGTGAACTTTGGCAGCCTGCCATGCTCTCTGGCTCTTTTTTGGTTGGTTGGTTGGTTTTTGATACGGGGTTTCACTGTTGCCCAGGCTGGAGTGGCTCAATCACAGCTCACTGCAGCCTTGAACTCCCAGGCTCAAGGGATCCTCCTGCTTCAGCCTCCCGAGAAGCTGGGACCGCAGGCATGCACCACCACACCCGGCATTTTTTTTTTAAAATTTTTTGTAGAGATGGGGTTTTTCCTATGTTGACCAAGCTGGTCTCAAATTTCTGGGCCCAAGCGATCCTCCCTCCTCAGGCTCTCAAAGTGTTAGAATTACAGGCGTGAGCCACCGCACCCAGCTTCATTCTTGCTCTTAACCACCAGGCCATAGTGGCTTTCTGATTATTTACTGTTTTTCTTCTGAGCTTAGTTTTCAAAATTGCATCTTTTTCTTTTCTTTTTTTTTTTTTTTAACCTGCTTTGATGTTATACTTTGTGTCATTAAATGGCCCCAGGGCCAGGCACAGTGGCTTCTGCCTATAATCCCAGCACTTTGTGAGACCAAGACAACAGGATGGCTTGAGCCCAGGAGTTTGAGATCAACCTGAGCAACATAGTGAGAACCCCATCTCTACAAAAAATAGAAAAGTTAGCTGGGCGCGGTGGCGGGCACCTGTGGTCCCAGCTCCTCGGGAGACTGAGGCAGGAAAATGGCGTGAACCCAGGAGGTGGAGCTTGCAGTGAGCCGAGATCGTGCCACTGCACCCCAGCCTAGGCAACAAAGTGAGACTCCTTCTTAAAAAAAAAAAAAAAAAAAGAGTGAGATTCTGTCTCAAAAAAAAGAGAGAGACAGTCCCAGGGAACCAGGGCCCCAGATGGGGAGAGGGGTGAGGGAGTCCAGGTGGTCCAGGCTTGTCCCAGCTTGTGCAGGTTCGTCTCCACGGAAACCAGAAGCTTTGCCTAAACCCTCCAGAGCTCCACAGCGCCCGAGGGATTAAGCCTAACCTCACAGCCCACCTCATCTTAGTTCACCTCCAACCTTTACCCCATCTGTCCCCTGAATCTGGGACATGTTTCATGGGATTCCTGCCTGGCTGGCCCCAGCCACTGAAGTCTAGGCTCAAATGCCACCTCCTCAGGAAGTCCTCCCTGACCACCTAACTAACCAGTCTTCTCTGATCCCCAATCACTCCTGCCTGTTTTATTATTATTATTATTATTATTATTATTATTATTATTATTATTTTGAGACAGAGTGTCACTCTGTCGCCCAGGCTAGAGTGCAATGGTGCAATCTCGGCTCACTGCAACCTCCACCTCCCGGTTTCCAGCGATTCTCGTGCCTCAGCCTCCCAAGTAGCTAGAATTACAGGCACCTACCACCACGCCCGGCTAATTTTTCTATTTTTAGTAGAGACGGGGTTTCCCCATGTTGGTCAGACTGGTCTCAAACTCCTGACCTCAGGTGATCCGCCCGCCTCAGCCTCCCAAAGTGCTGGGATGACAGGCATGAGCCCCCGCGTCCGGCCTGTTTTATGATTTTTTATTCAAGGCATCTAAAACTCATCTTTATTCCCTTTAACCATCAGTTGGTACGGTTCTGGTCTTTTCTCTTCGTCTGTGAAAGGAGGCATGTCTGTCTCTCTGGCTACTTAAGGCCCAGGTGATCGGCCATCAGCCTCCTTTCCAGGCCTTGGGTGCTGGTGCTGGACTCCCTGGCAAACTCCTATTCATCCTTCACAGCCCCAGTCTCTTCCTCCGTACGCATATCATACATCCTTCCGTCTGGCCCAACTGTGATGATTGGGGTGTGGGATGTCAGAGTGCATTTCTCCACCCTACACCTTCCCGCTCAGTCTGAAGGCTCCCGATGGGCAGGGATGGGCCCCTGGGACCCCATAAAACCAGGTCCCCCAGGGAAGAGTTTGAGGAACGAGTGAATGGTTGAATAAAACACACTGTGGCAGGTGCTCAACAGGTGCGTCCTGAGTTCCCGGCCCTGCCCCTGTCCAGGTGAGCTCCGAGAGGGTGGGGCTTGGGTCTTTGTCCCCGCCCCCCGCCCAGGGCTGGACACAAACGCCGAACAAGAGGCCCGCCCAGAGGGGACGGTGGTACCAAGTCACACGCCCCCGGGGCACAGGGCTCCCAGGCCACCGTCCCTTCTCCCCCTCCCCACCCCACTTCCAGGAACAATGGCAGAGGGGGAGGTTTCAGCCAACAAATACACCGACTGGGGAGGGGATTCTGAGAGCTGTACCTGGAGGCCAGGAGGAAGTCAGTGGAAACCAGAAGTGCCGGGTCCTGAAGCTTGGGGCCAAGTGGCCTGGGTCTGGCCACATACCACTGCAACCCCAGTCTGCCCTGGCTGGTGGGTGTGAAGGAGCCAGTCCAGGCTCCATGCCTGGAGGGTGAAATCCCTCCGGAGACAAGGATCGCCCCTCCACCCCGCCCACACCACGGCACACCCCAGCCGGCTTGCTCACCCCACCCCTGCCTCTGCCTGGTAATGCCTGTTAAGGGCTCTGTACACAGTGGGCACCCAATAAATGCTGGTGCTCCCTCCTGCAGCCTTGTAGGAGGTGAATGTTCACCAAAGCCACCCCAGCCCACAAATGAAGTCACTGCCCACCGTGCCACCATGGGCGCCCAAGCTCAGCTGGCTGCACACCGCCAGCAAAGGGGGATGAACATCTCTCCAGCCCACCTACGAGGCGCCAAGCTCTTCAAACACATTTTCCCTCTGTTTAAAATGCTGATCACCCATTTATCAGATGAGGTAAAGAGAGGATTCACTCACTGGCCCCACGTTACACACAGCATAGTGGACAGAAAATTCGGGATTTGAACCCAGCTCTGTGGGATTAAAGGAGGCCGGTCCTGGGGCAGAGGAGGCTCCAGCAGAGATGGTCTTTGGAGGCAGGGATGGGGGGCGCGGAAGCATCTCGAAGTGCAACCTCCAGCTAGCCACTTCATCCCTCTGGGACTCAGTTTCCCTGCCTGTTATGTAGGTAGAAGGTGTTTTGCTGTCCTGGGTCCGACTCAAACCCTGCTTCCCCCGACCACCCCAGCCCGAACCCCTCCCCCCGCCGCCCTCGGAGGGTTACTCGCCTGGAATCTCACCGCCATGGTCCACCTGGGGGCTCTCCAGCCCCCCTACCCGAGGCGGGACCTGGAAACAGTCAATCGGCCCCCACCCCGGGCTGGGAAAGGAGGCTGGGGAGGGTCACAGCCGCTGAGGGCCTGGCGGCTCTTGTCCTCCTCCCTCCAGCTCCACAGCTCCCGGCTCCACCTGCCCCCTCTTCCTCCTCCAGGTCCCAGGCCAGCCCCGCCCCTGCCCAGACACGCCCCCTGGACGCCGCGGAGATTTCTCTCCCCCCTCCCATCATAGGAGCCAGGTCCTGAGGCGGAAACTCCAGGCCGGGTTATCCACGCAGCCGAGCTGGGGCCGGCGGCCGCGACCAGATCGCGGCCCGACAAGGCTGCCAGCAAGACCCGGCAGGAATAACCCCCGCTCCTGGAACGGAGCCTACTATTTGGACGGTGTTTCCGTCCGCGAAATGGGCACATTTTGAGGTGCATCTGGGAGGCCTCTCGGATTAGAAGCTTGTCGAGGGCCGGAGACCTCCTCAGCATTGGGCTGGTCCCTGGGTCATCTTATCTCCGGAAGGTTTGCCCCATTCCCCAGAGGGGAACCTGAGGCCCCAGAGGCCAGGGGCGTGGACGCTCTGAAGATGCAACAGCGGCTGCGTGCCTCTTTCCTGCGGTCCTGGCCTCCGGGCTCTGTCTTCACACCCAGCACCGAGGAAAGAAAGGGGCAGGGCGGGACCGGGCACGGTGTCTCCTGCCTGTAATCCCGGAATTTTTTGGGAGGCCGAGGTGAGCGGATCACGAGGTCAGGAGTTCGAGACCAGCCTGACCAACATGTTGAAACCCCCGTCTCTACTAAAAATACAAAAATTAGCTGGTCGTAGTGGCGCATGCCTCAGCTACTCGGGAGACTGAGGAAAGAGAATAGCTTGAACCCGGGAGGCGCAGGTTACTGTGAGCTGAGATCACACCACTGCACTCCAGTCTGGGTGACACAGCAGAGCAAGACCCTGTCTCAAAAAAAAAAAAAAGAAAAGAAAAGAAAAAGAAAAAGAAAAAGAAACAAACAAACAAAGAAAGAAAGGGGCAGGGGAGCAGGGCACGAGGAAATTCTTCAGGCTCTGGGAGGGAGTAAAGGTCCTTTCCTTCTCACCCAGCCCAGCCCAGCCTCCCCCCTCAGGCGCCTGGGATTCCGGGATTCTTAAGGTTAGACCTAGGAGGGACTGGACCAATGTAGGAAAACTTCAAGTCACCTGGGTGGGCGGGGCTGGTCATGGCTGCACCCACACATTCCTTACTATTAAAAAAAAAAACCTGAGCCCAGCTGTGCCTGGGCCCCGCCCCAAGGTTAAAGGGGTAAACCTACACATAAACACCCCTTCCCAGCCTTATCCAGTCAGGGCAGGGCAGGGAGAGGAACCCCAGGTTGTGGTTAGGGGTGAAGAGCATAGAGAAAACTCTAGCGGGTAAAAGAAAGGCTTCCTGGAGGAGGGGGCATCGCAGCTGGGGATTTGAAGGTTGGTTAAGAGTTTGCTAAGTAGGCAGGGCGCAGTGGCTCACGCCTGTCATCCCAGCACTTTGGGAGGCCAAGATGGGCAGATTACGAGGTCAGGAGATCGAGACCATCCTGGCAAAAACTGTGAAACCCCGTCTCTACTAAAAATGCAAAAAAAAAAATTAGCCAGGCATGGTGGCGGGCACCTGTAGTCCCAGCTACTTGGGAGGCTGAGGCAGAAGAATGGCATGAACCCGGGAGGGAGAGCTTGCAGTGAGCCGAGATCGCACCACTGCACTCCAGCCTGGGTGACAGAGCAAGACTCAGTCTCAAAAAAAAAAAAAAAAAAAGTTTGCTAAGTAAACAAGGCCAACAATATCAACATCTCAGAGGGCCCACTAAGATGACATCTCACCTCCTTCACTGCAATTCTACCCGAAACACTAGCCCAGAGACCCGAGTCAGCTATAGTCAGCCCCTTGAGGGTCTCCCTCAAAGGTCTCCAAGGGCCCCAGTAAAGCATTACCAAAGCCTCTTGTGGGGACCCACTTGGAGCTTCAGAGCTGGGAGGGTTCTAAAACCAGCTCTCACCTATTTGCTGTGTGACCTCAGGCAAGTTACTGCCCCTCTCTGTTCCTCAGTTTCCACATCTGTAATTGGGGAAAATAATAGGCCCTACATCACAGAGTTGTCAGGAGGATTAAAAGGAGCCTAGAGGCCAGGCACAATGGCTCACTCCTGTAATTCCAGCATTTTGAAGAGTCAGGTGGGAGGATCACTTGATGCCAGGAGTTGGAGACCAGCCTGGGCAATATAGCAAGACCCAATCTCTGTAAAAAACGAAAAGGAGGCTGGGCGCTGTGGCTCATGCCTGTACTCCCAGCACTTTGGGAGGCCAAGACGGGCGGATCACAAGGTCAGGAGACCAAGACCATCCTGGCTAATACGATGAAACCCCGTCTCTACTAAAAAAATACAAAAATTAGCCGCCCATGGTAGCCGGGCGACTGTAGTCCCAGCTGCTCGGGAGGCTGAGGCAGGAGAATGACGTGGACCCGGGAGGCGGAGCTTGCAGTGAGTGGAGATCGCGCCACTGCACTCCAGCCTGGGCGACAGAGTGAGACTCCGTCTCAAAAAAATAAAATAAAATAAAATAAATAAACAAAAAGGAGTGTGTAGTTCTCTTCACTTTTGCAGCCATCACTGAAGCAGGAGCGACCAAAATGAAGTTCAATCCCTTTGTGACTTCCCAGCGAAGCAAGAATCACAAAAGGCATTTCAATGCACCTTCCCACCTTCACAGGAAGATTCTATGTCTTCCCCTCTTTCCAAAGAGCTGAGACACAAGTACCACCTGCGATCCCTGCCCACTGGAAAGGATAATGAAGTTCAGGTTGTGCGAGGACACTATAAAGGTCAGTAAATTGGCACAGTAGTCCAGGTTTACAGGAAGAAATATGCTATCTACATCGAACGGGTGCAGCAGGAAAAGGCTAACGGCACAACTGTCCACGTAGGCACTGACCTAGGTGGTTATCACTAGGCTAAAACTGGACAAAGGCGACAAGAAGATCCTTGAACGGAAAGCCAAATCTCACCAGGTAGGAAAGGAAAAGGGCAAATACAAGGAAGAAACAATGGAGAAGATGCAGGAATAAAGTAATCTTATAGACAAGCTTTGATTAAAACTTGAGCCTGTAAAGGCCAGGAGTGGTGGCTCACGCCCATAATCCCAGCACTTTGAGAGGCCAAAGTGGGCAGATCACGAGGTCAGGAGATCGAGACCATCCTGGCTAACAATGTGAAACCCCATCTCTATGAAAAATACAAAAACTTAACCGGGAGTGGTGACGGGAGCCTGTAGTCCCAGCTACTCGGGAGGCTGAGGCAGGAGAATGGCGTGAACCTGTGAGGCGGGGCTTGCAGTGAGCCGAGATGGCACCACTGCACTCTAGCCTGGTGACAGAGCGAGATTCTGTCTCAAAAAAAAAAAAAAAAAAAAAAATTGAAATGAAAATAAATAAATACTGTAATCCCAGCACTTTGGGAGGCCGAGGCGGGCAGATCACGAGGTTAGGAGATCGAGACCATCTTGGTTAACATGGTGAAACCTCGTCTCTACTAAAAATACAAAAAATTAACTGGGGGTGGTGGCAGGCACCTGTAGTCTCAGCTACTCGGGAGGCTGAGGCAGGAGAATGGCATGAACCCGGGAGGTGGAGCTTGCAGTGAGCCGAAATCGAGATCACGCCATTGAACTCCAGCCTGGGTGACAGAGCGAGACTCCGTCTCAAAAAAATAAATAAATGAATAAATAAAAGGGGCCTAGAATAGGACATAAATGTAATATCTGCCCCATCCCAGCGATGTGTCCTCCTGCAAACCACTCTGTGCCTCATTTTCCCCATCTGTAAATGAAATAATAGCACCTGACTCCAAGCATTACGTGAGTAAATGCACACAGTATTCTTAGAAAGTTTCCACTAAGTGTTGGCTATTATTTTTATCAGGGAATCCCACACATATACTTCATTTTATTTTATTTTTGAGACAGTGTCTTGCTCTGTTGCCCAGGCTGGAGTGCAGTGGCGCGATCTCGGCTCACTGCAACCTCTGCCTCCCAGGGTCAAGTGATTCTCCTGCCTCAGCCTCCCGAGTAGCTGGGATTACAGGCACCTGCCACCATGGCCAGCTAATGTTTGTATTTTCAGTAGAGACGGGGTTTCCCCATGTTGGCCAGGCTGGTCTGGATCTTCGCCCACCTGGGCCTCCCAAAGTGTTAGGATTACGGGCATGAGCCACCGCTCCCAGCCACACACACATATTTTATAGATGAAGGTTCAGAAGGGGTCCTAGTCTCAGTGAAGGTTGCACAGCATGGGTTCCTGGAGCACCAGACTGTTTCCAAGACCCCATGCTGAGCCAATGTAGAAACACCATTAACCAAAACTAAGGCTTGCTGAACACCTACTGTGTACCTACAGGCAGCTCAGCCCTTCCCTGTGTGACATCCGGCCACCAGCAGGTGGCGCAAAAAAAGGATTTTAGATGAATAAGGTCCAGCAATTTTTTTTTTTAATTTTTTTGAGAGGGAGTCTTGCTCTGTCGCCCAGGCTGGAGTGCACTGGTGTAATCTCGGCTCACTGCAAGCTCCACCTCCTTGGTTCAAATGATTCTCCCGCCTCAGCCTCCCAAGTAGCTGGGATTACAGGCACCCGCCACCACATCCAGCTAATTTTTTGTATTTTTAGTAGAGACAGACAGGGTTTCACCATGTCAGCCAGGATGGTCTCGATCTTCTGACCTCGTGATCTGCCTGCCTCAGCCTCCCGAAGTGCTGGGATTACAGGTGTGAGCCACTGCGCCCGGCCTCGGCCTGGTTTTGAACACCCAAATGTCTCAAGACATTACCAAGGGTCCCCCTCCGGTAAGAGGCACCAGGTTGGAGTTCGAGATGCAGGGACAAACAGAGCTGCAGCCAAATCCCGCAGGTCAGCTCACCATCTGGCCTCAGTTTTCTCAGCTGCAAAGTGGGCACACGAATGTCAGGTGTAACTGTGGCTGAATCCAGGCATATGCCAGTAAACATGGCCCAGGAGCCCCATTCATTGCTAGGAGTTTAACCCGCTTATTTATTTATTTATTTTTGAGACAGCGTCTAGCTCTGTCACCCAGGCTGGAGTGCAAGGGCAAGATCATGGCTCACTGCAACCTCAACTTCCTGTGCTCAAGTGATCCTCCC